GCTCCCCCCCCTCTCCCTCCCCCTCCTGCCGGCGGCCTGGCCTGGCCTGGCCTCTCTCCCCAGGAGGGCGGCCCGGCGCAATTAACTGGAGGGCCGCCGGCTTCAGGAAGCCAGGCCCAGCGCCTCGCAGGCCTTTCCAAGCACACAAGACACCTTGACGTGCGAACAGGAGGACTGGGGCGCTGGCACGCCGCCGGCCTTGGGTGGCAGGAAGGAACTCTCCGCGGGAGGCGGCGGGATCGGGGCGCAAGGGCTTGATCCCGACCCTCGGCCAGTCGAGCGGTCTACGAACGCGGGGCAGGAACGAGACCGGCCTGCTCCCGGCAGGGAAGGGGGGAGCGCACAGCCAGGCCACTGGGGCGGGGGTCCCCTCAAGTCACGCGCAGGTTTTTCAAGGAAAGAGACGTTCAGAGGTGGGTCGCCTGCCTCGGCCTGCAGGTTTGCTGCTGCAGAAATGCCGAGGAAGGAAAGGCTCCGGCCGCGACCCTGTGGCCATTGACTTAAAAGTAAAACCCAGTAATTTAGGAAGTACACGGGAGAGCAGAGTTCACGCCATGATCCCACGTGTGCTAACGTGACAGTGCGATCCGTAGGATTCAGTAGTCCCTCAGAATCGACACCCACGGCGTCGGGCTACACACCCGTGCTGAGACCCGGGATATCGGTTTCTATTCTGGATTTAGTTTCATTACAGCTCCTTGTCAATTGAGGCCTGGTCGCCAAGAGCACCTGCACGTGTTCTCTGGCAAAGGGGAACCCAGCAGACCGAGGCTACATTTTAATATGTTTGGGATCGGCACTTCTTCCGTTTGAGGCGATCGGGCGTTTAAATAGGGGCCGCAGACAGAATGTAATCCTTGCTTTGATTTCTTTTTTCACACAGAAAAGGAATCCCTTTTTCCTTTCCCGCTTGTTTGGACTCTTTCCCCCCTAAAGAAACACCGTAGGCCATCAAGGAAGGGACTTCCTAAATGTCCAGATTCTAACTGGAGTCTCTGGATTGCAGTTGCGCCAATCCGCGTGTGGAGTAGCGCAGGCAAGATGGGAGGGGGGGGAGAGGCTTTTTCAACCCGCCGACCGGGGACGAGGGCGACAAACCCGCTGTTAGAGCCGCTCGGGCTTCCCAAGGGACGCCGAGGCTGTCAAAGGCCAGGGCCTACAGACCAGCCCTCGCCTGCGAAAGGCTTCCCTTCTCTCTCCCCAACTTTGCGGCGCGCGCCTTTTGACGCTTGGGCGAGCGGGTGGGCGGCCGGTGGCGCGTCCCCGGAATATCGCCTCGCTTCAGCTGTGTCCCAATCGCCGCCCTCCCCGCAGCAGGCCTGGGGGCGGAGGCGCCCGGAGGAACTCCGCGGCCTGGCAGATCGGCGCGCACGGCTCTCCTTACAATGTCTGGCCCCGGCCTTCCCCTTCCCCCAGAAAGCCCGGCCGCTTTGGCTCGCCCTGTGGTTTCCACCTGCCCTCCCCGTTGCCAGGGGTCAGCTGCAACTTGACAGCACATTCCCGAAAGGGATCCGCAGGGTTCAACTGCCGGATCCGTAGGCAGGCTGACTAGGGAGCAAGCCTCTCTCAGTTCGTGGGCTTCCTCGAGGTAGCCGGCTGGCCAGGGGGCGAGCAGAATGCAGGGAGGGGTGGTCTGATTCGGCAGCAGGGCTCTTTTGGCACCTGACATTTTTGGCCACTGTGTGACAGAGTGTTCGACTGGATGGGCCATTGGCCTGATCCAACATTGGCTTCTCTTATGTTCTTAGCCTTGGCTACAGCCACCGTTTGGGGCCAGACACCACCTCCCCAGGCACCTGCCCGTGGCCAGTCCTCAGCCTCCCCCCCCTTTTTCATGCCCCTCACCCCGGCCAGGCCTCCCTCCTGCCCCACCTCCCTCCTGCCCTCCTTTCCCTGCCTGCCGCCAAGTTTGGTTCTCCCGCCTTCTTTATTATCTTTCTCCTCTTTATTATACAGCCCATCAACTGCTCGTTAGCCGCGCTTCCTTGTCTTCAGGGCCCTCCCGCTCGACGCCAGCCACCGCCTCCTCTCGCTTCCATGTCTCGTCTGTACAGGGTTCCAAAAATGACACGCATCTCTCTCCCCCTTCCCTCTTCTTCCCCGTACGCGTGTGCGTGTGCTGCAGGAGCCGCGTTCCCGGAGCAAGGCGCCCGTCGGCTCGGCCCAGCGCAGCGCAGGCCCGGCGCGGGAGGATGGGGAGCAAGGCCCTGCCGGCGCCGATCCCGCTGCACCCGTCGCTGCAGCTGACCAACTACTCCTTCCTGCAGGCCGTCAACACCTTCCCGGCGGCCGTGGACCACCTGCAGGGCCTCTACGGCCTGAGCGCCGTGCACACCATGCACATGAACCACTGGACGCTGGGCTGCTACGCCGCCGCCGCCGCCGCCGCCACGGCCACCGGGGCCGCCACCGGCCCGGCCGAGATCAGCCGCTGCTCGGCGCTCAGCGAGATGGCGGCGGCGCAGGGCCTGGTGGAGCGCTTCCCCTTCCCGGCGCTGCCCTTCGCCACCCACCTCTTCCACCCCAAGCAGGCCGCCGCCATCGCCCACGTGCTGCCGGCCCTGCGCAAGGAGCGGCCCCGCTTCGACTTCGCCAACCTGGCCGCCGCCGCCACGCAGGAGGACCCGCCCAAGGCCCACCAGGCGGCCGCAGCGGCGGCGGCAGTAGCAGCCGCGCAGGCGCACGGCGAGCTGGCCAAGCTGGGCGGCCCCCTGTCGGCGGCGCTGGGCAAGCTCTCCCCGGACCGGAAGCCGGCGCGCGGCAGGCTCCCCTCCAAGACCAAGAAGGAGTTCATCTGCAAGTTCTGCGGGCGCCACTTCACCAAGTCCTACAACCTGCTCATCCACGAGCGGACCCACACCGACGAGCGGCCCTACACGTGCGACATCTGCCACAAGGCCTTCCGGAGGCAGGACCACCTGCGCGACCACAGGTCAGAAGAGCCTGCGAGCCAGTGGCCGGCCGCCTGGCTGGCTGGCGGGCGGGAGGCTGCTGCGCGCGGGGGGGCGGGGAACACGCGGCCGGCCCAGGACTTGCCGCGAAGCAGCCCGAGGCTCCACGTGGCGCGCGGCCAGAGCCCCGGGACGCTCCCTGGGAAGTCGGTCCCGATCTCCGGGCCCTTTGCTGCTAGGCGATTGCAAGAGGATTCGCGTCCAGTTGCTGCTTGGAGACCAGCAAGACTCTCAGGGTATGAGCTGCCCAGCGCCAAAGCTCCCTTCGTCGGGTGCCAGGAGGCGTGGACTCTCGGAAGCTCATATCGTGGGAATCTTGTTGGTCTCCGAGGGGCCCCTGCGCTCGAATCGAGCTGTTCTACTGCAGACCAACAACAGGGCTGCCCTCTGAAAGTGTCTGCAAAGGGATTTGTAGCCTGGCGCGGGTTCTCAGCTTCAGGCTCCCCTCTGTCATTTTTTCGCTTGTTTGTCTGGTGGTGGTGGGTGGATAGTAGGGCCGTGCCCATCCTGTAAAGACGTTGTTGGGCTAACTGGGATGATAACTTGCAGGGAAGCGCTTTGCGGCTGAAAGCGCCCTGTAAATGCTGGGATGTCCTTACTTGGGGGGGATGGTTCTTTTCAGTGACGGGTAGGATTTATTTCCAAGGAAATTTAATTAAGGGTGGGGGATGTCGTCGGCTCGATTGACTTGGAAGTCAGTGCCATTGATCTGAAAGGGGACGATTGCCTTGGCTGGAAATCCCATTGGCTTCAGTGGGGTTGACTGACTTGGAATGGAGCCCCGTGGCCTTCAGCGGAACTTGTTTTCTGACGGAGCTGAGAATAGCAGCCCGGATCGCTTTCCAAAAGAAATATTTTCTGCCACCAATCAAACAGCCCGGAGCTTCCCTTTTCGGCCTCTCTCTTACGCATTTTTGGATGTTGCTTTAAAAAGCCAAAAAGCCAAACGTAGCTTTGTAACAGGGACCCTGCAGCTTTATGGGTATTTTCAGATGTATTTTTAGAAATCTGGTGAGGGAGTGGCAGAAAAAATTCTGCAAACTCACTGCAGCAAGTGTGGATCAAAGGGGAAGGGGAAGTATTCTTCCCTGAATAAATATTTCCCACAGATTCAGAGAAAATGTGATTTTTTAAATTCCACACAGAGGAGCAACAACCTATTTGTAAATGTAAAAATACTCCCCATTGCTCCCCTTGGCAGACCCCAGCTCCAGGCAACGCCTGGTCCAATGCTTCTGGGACTGTCAAACTGATGGCAGTAGTCCTGCTGACATCAACTGAGACAGGTCCCTATTTTCCCTCTACCTATTATTAGTAGAGGGGAAAGACAACAGAGGAGCACCGGGAGTCAAATTGCTGTGGATGTTTGGAAAGGAGGGAGGGGGGAATGGGGGAAGGTGCAGCACAGTTCAGTTGAGCACAGAGGCTAATTTTCTGAGAGATTTGAGCTGGAGGAGACTGTGGTTGTTGGGGTTCTGGAAGGGTCTTCCAATACTGATTCCAAACACCTGTATTGGCTTCCAGGTATATCCATTCCAAAGAAAAACCGTTCAAATGTCAGGAATGTGGGAAAGGATTTTGCCAGTCCAGGACCTTAGCAGTTCATAAAACATTACACATGCAGGTAAGGTTAGAACTGATCACTTTTAGCCAGTTTACTGCGGTCTTAAAGTTTATTATTTAGAATATTTCTGGGCTGCCTTTGCAGAGTCCTGCTTGAGGCATCTTACAATTAAAAACCTCAATATTAAAACACAAGTCGTTGGATAGAAACAGCATAAAAAGAGCAGTTGTCTTTCTGCTCTTGCTACTGAATGGGTGTAAAGTTAAACTTACATGCTCATTGGGGTAATTAAAGAAACCCTCAGTATACCAGGAGTTTGATTTTCAATTTTGAATCTGAATACCTCTCCCTTTCTTCCCCACCCCTCCTCTCCCTGCAGTCTATAGAAGACACCACAAATTTCTTGTTTAGATAAATGTAATGCATTGTTTGGGGGAGTGTGTATATCAATTTGATTAATTCCTTAGGCAAATGGTGGGGATTTGACAAATTTCAGATAACCTTGCACAAAATTGTCTGTAATCCAGTGCTACTTACTTGAAAGAAAGCTACATTGAATTTAGTGGGGACTTCCTACTGACTAAAAATGTACAGGCTCCAGCCTCATGGGCAAGGTCCATTAGGCATTCTGGCAATCCATAAAACAGGCCGATTAGGGTTCTGGTAGAAAAGCTCTGATGGCAAAGACTTGTTCTGCCGAAAGTCTCTCCACAATAGAGATGAGGCCAGTATCCCTTGGAAGCCAAAGGATTAGTGGGGAACATTTTTCCGTATATCCCAGAGATCCTGATATGTGATGGGGTGAGAGAAACTGACCTTGACAGCAATATTTGGCCTTGCAGATAAGGATGTGAGTTTAAAAGACACTTAGGAAGAGAGTGTGTCTCCTGGCCTGCAGTGGGGCTTAACTTCCACCTAAACATCCGAAGGAGCAGGCTGTAAAATGTCTCGGTCTTGGTTCGGGTTTCTTGCCCCTGGAACCCAAACACACTGCCTTGGAAGCAAACTCTTTTTGATCCCAGTACCCCTTGTGTCCTGGACATACTTTGGCAAGAGTGCCCCATTATTTAGTATTCTTTAATGCCTTCCTCCTCAAGAAGTTTGGGGCCGCGTGACTGTTTCCCCACCAGTACCGATTTTATTCTTATGAAGAAAGTTAGGCAAAGAGATGTAGCTGATGAGCATGTCCTCCACTTCTCCAAATGGATTAATTTCTCTTTGATGGGTTATTGCTTCCTAGTGGCCTGTCTTTGTAACATCTTGGCACTGTTCTGTTGCTTGTAACCAAAGTCTAAATATATTTAGTAATGTATCTTTAGGCGGGGAGGGAGCCATGTTAGTCTGTTTCAAATTCAAGTCCAGCAGCACTTTCAAGACCTAGACAATTTTCCAGGGCTGGAAGCTTTCATGTATTAACACTTCCTTCCTCAGATACCAGGTGAGAGAGCTTGATTCATCGGATATGAAGGGAGCTTTGACTCAGGAAAGTTTATACCCTGGAAAACCTTGTCATTCTTGAAGGTGCTACTAGACTCAGATTTTGTTCAGCTAGTATATCTGTTATGGACGTAGACTCTCTGCCTCTCCTGAATTGAGATCTGACTCAGGGAAGCCCACGCTAGAATAAATTTTGCTACTCCTTCATTGGATGGCTGTTTAGCTTTGCTGCAACAGACCAAAACACCTGTAAGGATTACCTGAGGCCAGGTGACCCAGTGAGCTTTGTGGCTGAGGGACGATCTGAATCCAGCTCTCCCCTGTGCAATGTGATTTACTATAAAGTAAATACGCTTATGGTTGGGAAGCAGTCTTTAATGCTAGGGCAGCCTAATCCTATTTATGTTTAATCGGAAGTAAGCCATATGGGGCTTAGTAGCAAGTAAGTGTGCCTAGGATTGCAGCCTTAATTAGAAGACACTTGCTTTTGAGTAAGAAGACTTAGGGGTGCCATCGCAGGCTTTCATTGAGATGTTGTTATTGTTGTTGTGCAATGTAGCCAGAGGCCAAAATCACAGGGGTGGTGATAGCGGTACAGTGTAAAGAGAGATTAATTTTTAAGAGAAAAAGAAAGCTCGATAATCCGAGTAGTTTTGTAAAGGCTTAATCCTTTGCTTGCTTCAAATCTGAACAGGAATCTCCACACAAATGCCCCACATGTGGAAGAACCTTTAATCAAAGAAGTAACCTGAAAACTCACCTTCTCACCCATACAGACATCAAGCCCTACAACTGTGAGCAGTGCGGCAAAGTGTTCAGGCGAAACTGTGATCTGCGGAGGCACAGTCTAACTCACACGCCGCGGCAGGACTTCTAGAGCAGCCGAGAATCTCCGCAGGGAGCTTAACTCTGGCTACGGGACTTGACTATAGACAAACCTTTTAAAGCCCGGGGCGCAACAGGGGCACAGATCGGGCAGGGGCCCTGATCTTCTGGCCAGACCCTCTGGGGGAAAGTGAGGGGGGGAGGACAGTGGTCCCACCGGTCCCCCCCTCCCCGGTCTCCGAGCGCAGGCCGGTCTCTTGTAGATAATGTTACAGCTCATTTTAGAGCTCTGTACAGAACCTGGTGTGTGTGTCTTGTGTCTGTTTCCTACTTCCTTACCAAATGCACGTTGGTAACAACAGCAGCAAAATCTGGGAGTGAAATTGTCTTTTAAAAAGTGTACTTCGAAATAAAAAAAAGAAAACTTTTCCCCCAGAAAATCTCTGGTGTTTGGTTTGTGTTAAATAATTTGTTGTTGTTGTTGTTTTTCTCAACCCTTCTTTCCTTTGGTGACCAGCGTGAGCCTTTAAAAGAGTATTGTGTTTCCAGAATTTAAAGTCTGGTGTTATTATTATTATTATTTTTAATCTCTGTTTTGTTTTTACTGCATGTCTGTAAAAAGGAGGCTTGCTTTGACTGTGTAAGGCTACAGCCTTGTGTGTATTTACTGGGGCGTAAGGCACATCAAACACAATGGAAATCACTTCCCAGTAAACATTCACTTGTAGGGAGACCACAAAATCTCTTCCAGCCGATTGCATTATTTTTTTCATTGACCTGTGTCTTCTCCCCACCTGGGGGACTGCGCAGAGATTTCCAGCCAGAAAAGCAGGGGGGGCTGGGAAATACCACACAAATCCACCCCCAAAGCAATTTATTAGTAACTTATTGGCCATCAGAAGCAATAATCGGCTCTTCTTTCCAGATTGCCCGCGATAGCCTCCTGCTTAGACTTTGAACGCGGGACGGCAATTCGCGGCTTTAGACAGGGACTTTATCCTGCGGAAGAGGAGGCTGCGGGGCTGATAAGGCCGGGGCGAAAACAAACAGCGGTCGGGGAGTCAGGCCGGGCCCGGACTGGACGGCGGCACCCGCAGACGGACACAGCCGGCTCACCCCGGAGGCTGCGGCTCTCCGCGGAAGTCACCCCAAAGCCGCGGTCAGGCTCCGGGTTCTGCTCCGAGGGGGCGGCCGCCTTATCGGAGCTCCGCTCGGCTGCCGCATTCCCGGCCAGGCTGTGAACCGCGCGGAAGCCAGAAAGAAACACCCCCGGGCGCCGCTCGAGGCCCAGCCACCGGGGGCAGGCCGCTCGCACGTCCGCCCCAGTCGGTGGGGGAAGACGCGCAGCGGGAGGGGAGCGCCCCCTGCCCGAGACAGGAAGGAGAGACAGGGGAGGGGAGGGGAGGGGAGGGGTGTCTGCAGGGTTCAAAAGCCGGCGCTGGCCTCGGGCGGGGAAACTGGGAGAAGCCTTCTCTGCCTCGACGCGGAGGTCGGCGGGCGGCCTGTGGCAGGAGCCCCCGCGCTGGGCATGTTTGCGGAGGATACTGGTGAATGCCTCCTCGTAACAAAGCTATAAAGCGAGGCCACGAAGTTGCCTCCCCTCTTTATCTTCCGAGCAAAGGGATTTGCACGCATACCCATTTCGGCCCGTTGAACTGCTTGCAAGGAGCCTCTTGCTGTGCGCTGGCGTGTGCGGCATTTTTGCGGTGGGACCCAGGTGTCCCAGAAAGTAGCAGTCCGGCAGGTCTGAATCCCCTTTGGACAGCTTTTCTCCCTCTTCCCGGAATGCTCTCCCTTCCTATTAGTTATTAGTCTTCTTTAGTAATGTTATTAGCCCACCTCTCCTCCAAGGAAATCGGGGCGACATATACTGTTCCTCCCTCCTCCATTTTATCCCCACAACAACCCTGCAAGGTGGGTTAGGCTGAGATAGTGACTGGTCAGTTACCCAACAAACGTCATGGCAGAATGGGGTATGGGGATTTGAGTGTGAGTCTCTCATTATGTTAAGCAGCCCCCAATAGCCAAGCTTAGCCCAAGCTTGTAAAAACTCTGGAGCTGGGCAGGACAACCGCGGGTCAGTACTTGTATGGGAGACCACCTGGAAGTCCAGGGTTGCTATGCGGAGGAAGGCAGTGGCAAACCACCTGTTTGTCTCTTGCCTGGAACACCTCAGGGGTTGCCATGGGTCAGTTGCAACTTGACAGGGCATTCTGTCTGTGTCCCATATCTAACACCATATCATCGGTGGTGGGCAAGACTGGGTTCTTTGGGGATGAGGGGAGGCTCTCTGCATATGCTCAGGTGCTGTTCTTTGTTCACACCGATGCTGAAGGGAGACCTGCACAGATACACATTTCTTCATGCATTCCATAACTGAGCTGTTGTGGACCTCTGGCTCAGAATAAGTGCAGGGTCAATGTAATTGTGTAATTTTACATCTGTCAGCCCAGCCAGTGTTTGCTAAGTGCTAGCACAGAAGTTCATGCCAGGCTACCCTCTCTTTGTCACATTATCACATTATCATCACTCCTTCAAGGGCAGTGCACAGGATTATCCCTCACAACAACAGCCCTCTGAGGTAGGTTAGGCTGAGAAAGAGGGACTGGCCCAAGGTCATTCAGTGAGTGTTATGCCTGAGTGGATCCCAGAATGCAGTCCAATACACTGGGCACTAACTGCTAGAATGAAGAGGGGACAGTCCTAATGAAGACCTCTTCTTACCTGGGGCTCTGAGGGATTCTGGGAGCCGGCGTGTGTGTGGTCACCAACACCCAGTTTCAAACCATCAGCCATGCACCAGTCACTTTCTGTCAGCCTCACCTGGAGCACTTTGCAGGAAGGTCAGGAGGAAACGAAAAGGCACCTGTTGACCTGCAGCACGGCTTACTTGTCATGTCACCTCCTTTCAGGTATGGGCCAACCGTCTCACATCTGAAATCCTAATGCAGGAAGCTGCAGTCTAGAGACGCCACTTCCAAGAGCCTTCATGCTGCACACCGGCCCTCTGCCCTTGATCCAGCAAGCACCTTTGAGCACTGGGAGCGCCTCTATTCTCGGGGCATCCGGCAGAGCTTGGAAGAAGTTCCCTATCTGGTTTGCTCCAGCTCTGAATTTTTAGCAGTTTTGCTGCTGTGTTTTAAATGGTTCAACATGGATAGTTTTTAAAAAATTAGTTTTATGATTTCTGTTGCTGTGAGCCATTTTGCAGCAGATAAATATTTGGCGCAAAGGAGCAGATCAATAAGGCAAGGACAGCATCCAGTTGGAGCCAAGCTTCAACCTGAGAAGCTGTTTCCAAAGCCGTCTACAGTCATTCAATAGATACAGTAACCATAGATGGCTTGAGTGCCAGCAAGTGACCTGCTGCTCCCTAAAGCAGAGCCACTGTGAGTCCTTTTTGTTTGGGCCTGGAGGGAAACTTTCCAACCTTTGCCTGAGCCCAGCCTTTGCTTGAGAAATATTTTTAAGTGGCTATCTGAGGTGAGGAGGAGCTGCGGTGGCTCAAGTGGTGAAGACGCTGAACTGCAGGCTGTGGAAGGTCGGTAGTTCAGCAGTTCAAGACCCGGGTGCCGCATGAGGGGGTGAGCTCCCGTCTCTAGTTCCAGCTCCTGCCAACCTAGCAGTTCGAAAGCAAGACATTGCAGGTAGATAAATAGGTACCACTTTGGTGGGAAGGTAACAGCGTTCCGTGCGCCTCGATGTTTAGTCATGCCGGCCACATGACCACGGAAACGTCTTCGGACAGCGCTGGCTCTTCGGCTTTGAAACGGAGATGAGCACCGCAACCCTAGAGTCGGATTCGACTGGCTTTCGAGCAAGGGAACCTTTACCTTTACCTTATCTGAGGTGGACTGAAGAAAAGGGAACCCTGATGCAACAGAGGAGGGACAGGCATCCACAGCAGACCATGAGAGAGGCCACAGTGGCTCTGGATCTCAAGCGCTCCTTCTCTTTTCCCAGGTTCAGTGCCATATCTCTGTTCTGCTGTCCTCCACCCTGTTCCTTCCTCTCCTCCCTTGCTGTTGAGGACTCACACAGACCTGAGTGAGTCCCCCTTCTGCTCCATTATGGTCTCTCAGGTGTTTCCTTATCCAGCCTCTTCCGTATGCTGTCAGGCTTCTCTCTGTTTGCTTTCCCTCTTGCCCTTTGCTCTTCTTCTTTCCACCCTAGCAGGTCCCAAGCGTAATTTCTCTAATACAACACGTATTAGAGGAATCCTATATGTGCAATCTTGTGAGGCATGAAAGAAAACAATTCTGTTTCATTTCTAAAATGATATAAACTCACCATATCACAGCAAGGGGCTTGCAGTCCCTCTGGACCCCAATAAAACATATCTGTTCCCTTTCCGTGTTTGGTCTCCATGCCTTCCTCTGGGTATCAAGAACTTTTTCCTGCAGTTTCTGAACCAGAACACACCAATCTCAAGGTGATCTTTTCACCTGGTGAACTAGAATCCGTAACTGTGATCCTGGTAGGTGCACCAAATTCAGTATCACTTCCAAATATTTTTTGTGTATTTTTCTCTCACCCTTCCTTCAAGGAGTTAGGTCAGCATATGTTCTCCATTTTATTGTAACAACTACCCTGTGAGGTAGGTTAGACTGAGTGAACATCATGGCAGTGTGGGAATTTGAACCCAGGTCTCCCAAATCCTTTAATCCCTGTAGTATACTGTTCCTCCCGATATTTATGCAGTCCCCCACACTACTTTTATGTTTACTTAACCATGTGCACTAAGGGGATGGCATATTGTGAGAGAAATCTGTGAAGTATTATCTTAAAATATGTTAACTACCCATGCCAGATCCAAGTTGGCCTTTGGTGCAGCTCACAAAGATAGTCTCCCAGCATTTTATGATACAGCCTCCAATAATGACAGCTTGTTTCATAGACCCTTCTCAAAATTCTGTTTTAAGTGGTATGAGCATCTGGAGCTGTTGCGAGAGCTGAGAAACGAAGCTCTGATGAAAGCTGAGAACTGATGTGATCCATCCGAAGCCATGTGACTCTAAGCCACATGGATACCATAACGTTGAGAATATGCTTATACTTGACAAAGTACTATGACATGAACACAATGGAGCAGGCTTTGTGTGTTACTTGGCTGTTTCATTTTGGACAGCCTATGTTCAAGGCTTACATCGGTAGAGAAGGCTGCAAAGACATAGAAACCAAGATAAGACAATGTTTTGATGATCCAGACACTTGTCTGTGACAGGAAGAAAAGACAAGCCAAAACAGTTTCTCCAGGCCCATTTTGAATTCTCCTCTGCAGGGGCTTTTACTGCTGCCACCAGGTAGAGACTCCCCACCCCCCTGCCCCCAAACTGCATCTATTCAACCACCTCTCCTTTATAACCTGAT